CATTTGTAATCATCAAAATTAAATGAAATAAACATTTGAAATATATGAGTTTGTATGTAATGTATGAATATAATATACAAGTTTCACTTTTTAAATGGAATTACTGAAATAAATCTACTTTTTCATGATATTCTAATTTTATGACCAGCATCTGTATACCATCAGAGAGGCTGGCTTTTAAACTTTGCGCTGATAACAATCTTGACAGTCCTTTTCTTCTTTGGTCTGGAGGACACACCGTCCACAATTTCCAAAAACAGAAATGTGGACTCATCAGACCACAGGACACTTTTCTACTTTGTGTCAGTCCATCTTAGAAGAGCTCAGGTCCAGAGAAGCTGGTTGTGTTTCTGGGTGTTGCTTTGTCTTTGCATGATAGAACTTTAACTGTCACATGTAGATGTAGAGATGAACTGTGTTCACTGAAGTCTTCTAGAGTCTATGTCAGGGCTATTCCACTAAATTGCTCCGGGGGTCACAGTTAATGCAGACCAGGTGCCGAACATCCAGCTGGTTGTTTAAGTTGTTATGTAAATAAACTAAGTATTACAAAGATCTGTTATCTTTGAAATAGTTTATTTTGCTGCATTTAATCAAGAAAACATACAGAACCCTATGAAATAAATGTAGTGATGATAAAACAAAAAAAAAAAGAAACATATTTACCACAAAATATTTCGACATTTCTGACTTGCCAAATTTTTAAACCAATTTTATTTTCATTTTTGTAGTTTTATCTTCAACTGATTGTAGTATTAACTGTCTTGGATGTTCATAGAAATGGTTTTTATCAGCTTGTAGCCAAGATTCTGACATTTCTGCAGATACCAAACATGTCTATGTTCAACTAAAATAACTTAGAGTAATTAAAGTAGAAAACCAGGGGTTTGGGCTTGAGATGAATGAACCAATTGGCAGGAAGAACTTTGGTCACTAGCGGGTCGGATGTGGCCCGCAGGCCGCCATTTGAATAGCCCTGGTCTATGTGGTAACATGGGGTTTTGGCCTTGCAGCTTATTTACAGTTTGTTCAGATTATTTGGATTTTTTGATGATATTATGATATTATATAGATGATGAAATCTTTAAACTCCTTGCAATTGTACATTGAGAAATGACTGGCTAACACAGCTGCAACTCTCTTGTTGTCTTAAGAAAACTTTTATCTAATTTCAAAATTTACCATGTCATATWTGTACGTTTAAACATACAGCATGCTGTAAATGACATGCTGGGTTTTGGTCTGCTATTGTCACATTATGGCTGTATTTATTGAATCGTGTTGTAATTTTTCCTAGCCAAATTGTAGTAAAAAGTAAATACATWCACCTGAAAAATTAGGAAATTTAGAGATGTCGAATAAAATGTCCTAAAAATATAAAATAATTGTTATTGTTGAGAAAAATGGGGAAAAAAACCAAGCCTTTTCATAAATATTGAAGTTATGTGGAACAGAAAAGGTGCAGAGTAAATACAAAGAAAACAGGAAAGTAAATCACAGTAAAAGTATTACAAT